CAAAATTGTCATTAGACATGTTGTATGTCTATACAAAAGTAAGGTTTCTAAAACAGAGCTTATGGAAGATAATGCCCCTGTTTCCATGGGCTATCTAAATCTGTCCCTGACCTGCTTTTTCTCTGTGGGCTGCACTGTCCTGGTAGGTATAGAGAGCTGTCACATCACCATCTCAGACCTCTCTCTTGCTTCTCATCCTCACATTGGGTTGGGATAGTCCTAGATACTACTTACCTTGCCCTTTTCATTTGCTATCCCTTGTACCTCTGTTTCATGTCTGCTGTTCACAATGGTAATCATCATCTCTTCTTTTTGTTTTTAACTGTGTACAGACTCGAATTTCAGAAGCAATGCTTCTAAAAGGTCAGCACTAGAGCTATGCCTAACTTCCTTCAGTAATATTTTGCTGCCACCTGATGCATTCAGGTGGCCAAAGAATAGAGAAAACAGTTTGAATATAAGTATGGCACAGAATTTCATTAACTGACTTCTACCATAATTTAATATGACTATATATAGAAAATAAGATACAGAAACTCACTTAATTGCATATAATATATCATAAATGTATTTTGGGCTACTATAACACCCAGATTCAGTTAGAAAGTTAACTAGGACACAGAGAAACTTCTAGGTAATTTATCTGCACACAAAATTCAAAATGTCATGGTATAATGTGGTACTACTCAAATAGACAAGTTTTTTTGGTCCTATAGAAAAAAACTACATCTAGAACTAATGCATATTTACAGAATAAAAACAAACTAAAACTCATTGCACTATAGAATAAAAAAAGTTAGTGTAATGTAAAAGACAATCTTGATTTTTTTTAAAACAAACTTTAAAATAGAACCTCTACCACTACCCCCTCCAAAAAGACAAGATGGGATACATACATGAGAACATTTTTATAAGCATTTTTATAAGGATTGGTTGGAAAACAGTGGGGGCTTTGATAAAGCAGATTAAGGCATCCATGTGTTACAAGTACTTTGAATTAATAGGACAAATTAACACACTCAAAAAACCAGTTAGAAGATTAAGACACAAATATTAATATCTTTTTTATATTCATATAGGATGTTTCAGTTTTTAAAGTACTTTCCTGTGTATATATCATTTGAACTAAACAGCTTAAAGGCTATGGTCCTTGCTTTTCTTATGAGGACAAGGGATCAGTGAGATATTAAGGCACATGCCCAAGGCCACATAGCTAGAATAGAGCCAAGATTGCAACAACCTCTAATGCTAAGCCACCTTACATGTAAGTTTGTTTCCTGGCTCAGAGAAAAATTAACTACTGTCAGTATCTCTTTTAAAGTACACTGCTTCACCTACTGTAACTGTTTTTCAATGGTAACAAATAGTTGGTTTGGAGATGTATAAATAGTTGGATTTTCATTTGTAAGTGAACTTTTGCCTATTATTTGTTCTAACTTGAGAGTTATGAGTTCACAAAAAGACACACAGTTGTAGACACACACACACACACACTCTCTCTCCCCACCCTGTTCTTTGTTTTTCAAAGACTGGACTATATGAACACCTCCATTCATCCCCAGCAAAAACCAGCAGGTGCAAAAACAGAACAGCAACAATGAAAAATTATATATGTATGTTGCTATCCCTTTTCAGCTCACCATCAAAACTCTCAGAGGCTTTAACCACCTTCTAGGAAAATCCAAAGAAAGGCCTCTCAACTTCCTTGAAGCTTCAGCAATTTGTGACAAGTTACCTTTCCCTTTTTTGAAGCTCCTGCTCTCCACTTACCTTCCCATCTCCCACTTCCTAGCACACACACTACAGCACTATCTTATTCTCCTTTACACTCTAATGAAGCTTTTTGGGTTTCAGGCTTCTGAGCTCATTCCCAACATACCCTCCCTAAGGAAAAGGGAATTCCCAAAAGCCATTTTATCCTCTTTCTCTTTTTGTCTTCACTTTGGGAAGTCATCCTCCCAGAAGGCTTTAACAAAATCCCTCATGCTGCTGATTCCAAAATTCTCATTATAACTTCTCAACTCTCACACAAAACCCAGTCCTGACTCCTGCCTGCAGCATCCTTCACTTGGATGCTCCACTGTCAAAGATACTCAACATG